GATAAATAGCAAAATTACAATTAAATTTAAATTGCAATTACCATTTTAAAATTATCTATATCGTTATTTGTTAAGCTGATATATTATCTATATCGTCATTAATCTGATATATTATCTACTCACAAATTTAGCAAAAACCGAATGAAAGGAATAGAATTCATTATAATTATTGATATATAGTTTGGGTTTCTTATGGCGTAGCTTACATAAAGTTTAAATGCTAAGACCATATGTTAAGATCGTTTGAGGTAGCTTATATAAAGTTTACATGTTAAGACCGCATGATATAGATTACACAAAGTATACATTGAGACAGTAAGATGTAGCTTATAGAAAGTTTAAGACAGTAAGATATAGTTCATATAATGTTTACATGTTAAAACCGTATGATGTAGCTTATATACAGCCTACATGTTTAGATTGTATGATCTAGCGTATATAATGTTTACATGTTAAGACCGTATTATATAGATTATATAAGGTTTACATGTTAAGACCGTATTGTTATATAAAGTTTACATTCTGTGACAGACAGTATGGTGTAGTTCATATAATGTTTACATGCTAAAACCGTATGATATAGATTATATAAAGTTTATATGTTAAAACCGTATGATGTAGGTTATATAAAGTTTACATGTTAAAACCGTATGATGCAGCTTAAATAAAGTTTACATGATGTAACTTATATAAAGTTTACTTGTTAACGTCGTATGATGTAGCTTATACAAAGTTTACATGTTAATAAAGTATGATGTAACTCAGTGCTTACACTTGGTTCAATTTTTTTTCCACCAATTTTACATTTTAATTTATAAACCATATATACTATTCAAAAAAAGTAGGGGATATTTGATTTTGGGGCCATAATACTAAAATATGGAAATGACTACGAAAAAAGTCACTATAGAACCTAACAGAAGAAACATTTCCAGTTACATGTGACGCCCAAACGCACCAATAGCTACCGCATGGAATGCAGGTGATGCTTGGGATCATCATGGGGGTCCAACCCAAGATTTGCACGACTCTGACTTTGAATGTTACAGTCATTGTGGCATTGAATTCCAGGGTGGAAACATCAGTTTAATTGTTTTAGTGACCAGAAAACAAATTTTGATATGCGTCGGCTTACCCAAAATGAAAGGTTACGTGCCCTTGGCATGCTACAGATCGGCACAACACAGGCGGTTGTGGCGCGGACGATGAATGTTTCTCAGTCTGTCATAAGCAGGCTATGGTCCAGATACCGTGATACACAATCTGTACAGGACAGACCACGCTCAGGTCGACCAAGGGCGACAACTCATACCCAGGATCGATTTATCCGTACCTTGGCCTTGAGAAATCGTGTCATCACAGCAAATCAGATCAGCGCTCGTCTTCAAACAGACACTGGTGTGAGAGTGAGTGGCCAGACGATTCGGAATCGACTGCATAGGGGTCACCTTCGCGCCCGACGTCCTCGCGTGATCCCTTGTTTGAGAGATCATCACATTCAGGCAAGACGTCGTTGGTGTAGGGATCGTCAACACTGGGATAATCGACGCTGGAGCAATGTGATGTTTTCAGATGAGTCAAGGTTCACTGTTGATTTTTTGGACAGACGTAGGAGGGTGTGGCGTCGTCGAAACGAGCGCTTCCAAGACGTTAACGTCATCAGACATGATCGATTTGGGGGTGGTTCTGTTATGGTGTGGGGAGGCATCACTGTTGCTGGAAGAACGGCTTTACATGTTGTTGTAGGGCGTGTCATGGCCGCACGATGTCATGGCCGCCGTTTAATCTTCCAGGATGACAACGCAAGATGTCACAGGGCCAGGATCGTTACAGGTTACCTCCAACAACAGAACATCACCACATTACCTTGGCCAGCACTGAGTCCCGACCTCTCCCCCATCGAGCATGTCTGGGACATGCTTGGACAGAGGTTACGTCAACGTCAACAACGTCCTGCCAATGTCCAAGAACTTGCTGCTGCGTTGCAACAGGAATGGGACAATCTGGACCAAAATGACCTTTGACGTCGGATCAATGCTTGTTTGGCAAACAGAGGAGGATTTACCCGTTACTGACTTGGTTGTGATGCTGTGGTAACTTTGCTGTTTGACCCCGGGTATCATTTTACCCTTATAATGGTCAGTCTGTGCCTTACTTAGTCTAACGATCATTTGGAATAAATCGATGAATGTGAACTTCATTTCATTTTGTCATTTGTTTCTTCGTCAGTTTCATTAGGTGACTTTAATAACACTTAAAAATCAAATATCCCCTACTTTTTTTGAATAGTATATGTTTTTACGCCAAAAATAAAATTAATAATAATTAATAACTAGTAATTTTTTTATTCCATTTTTACTTTCAATATAAATGCATACAATATACATACGATGGTACAGCTTACAAAATTCTTGTTTGCTTTGCAGTGTCCCATTTTTGAAAGCTTTTTTTAGTACACTACAACCACCTTTGAATGAATTTGTAAAGTTAGCTGATTCACAAGTGGAACAAACATTGTTTTGATAGCTGCATCATACCTTAACCAAAGATTTGAAAATTTCCATTCATCCTTAAAAGATTTATCTTAAAATACACCAAAATTTTACGCTTGTCAAATGTTTTCTCTGCCGAGGACTTTTGGAAATAAACACTCGATAAATACTTTCGTGAGAATGCATCTTTAATGATCAATATTAATTATTATAGCAATCTTAAAGAGAGGCTCGTTATCATACACAGACAGGTGGCATTTTCCCCACCCCGTCTAACATAGAACGGAACGGAGCACTTCTGTCTCCCAACTAATGTATAAAAAGATTCATATAAAATCTACACATACATGGTTATATTGTGCCAATCACAATCTTTGTGTCAGTCGTGTACTGTACAGGTAGATCGATAAAGTAGGTCATAATACATACCTGTATGTAACGACAAGTCTTACATCCAGGTAACAGTTAGATATATTCCCACAATCTGCAATTATTTGTTAAACTAAAAACGTAAATTTAACAAAGAGCCCTAGTTTATCCTTTTTAATATCCGACTATTTACCTGACAGTGTTTAGTTTCGCAATAGTAGTCTGGATAATCTAAGATATGACTCATCGATATCTTTATCAAACCACTTTACTCAACTGTATTCGCTATATGCTATTGTTGCTATAAAAATGTTTTTATTCAAATTTTATTCCGTTGTTGTTCGTACTGAAGATAAACTATGCAATTTAAGATAACATTAATATGTAACTACGTGAAAATGGGTGTGACTTATTGTAATGGTTAAAGTAGCTAAGTCTCTAACTCAATATCATCCAAAATCTTCGTCATTGAAAACACAAATTATTTGTCAATTTAAATCAACATTGATGTTGTGATCTTGTCGGGAAAGATGGGCTTCTGATATCCAATATTTAAGACAAAATAAACATTTTACCATTGGTACACGAATCGTGTACCATAATGCGTTTCAGTGCCATTTGTAACAAGTGACTCGAGCCGAGGCTAGATATATTCCATAAGTCATGTCAAACGGTGAAGTCATATTCTTATCTCGAGAGCATACGCAATACTATCGGTGTAGATTGGAATAACCAGACGCTAGATATTGCCATTCGATTGAGTCCTCAGGCATATTTCCCCGAACATAACTGATTTTAAATTAGAGTAAAAATCAGTTTATATTACATTATTTTATGCGTTGCCAACCATTTGTGTCAAATTCTAGGTCCCAAATATTAGCGATTTAGCTCCTTTAAGACTCACTTAAACGACCCGGATTTTATTGATTTAGTATCTCACTTAACCTACATAGATTCCACACTAGCTAGGATAATAAAGCCTAAATCAAAAATATTGCATATAGGCCGTAAAAACTGTGAGGACATAATGTTATATGCGTAAATGTTATTTTTTAGGAATTAGATAATATATCTATTACATAGTATATTATGCAAAATTTATAAGTTACATATTATGTAATATTTAGGAGATAAATACTTCTTGTTTCGTATTTAGAGGCGTGTTATTTTGCAATAGACGTGTCCTGGGTTCATTAGGACCCAAGACGCGTTAGGGGTAACTCTTGGTTTCTAATGATGGCTACCCTTTCGAAGTTTATATTAACATGGGTGAGTTTTTAGCCGACCGTCAACACAATTTTATTGCTAGTTCTTGTTCAGAAAGGATCAGTTCTTGCTTACATCCCCAAAATACACTATAAATCAATGTGATGCCTATGATTCTATTAAAAAAATGAAAGGACGCCATTTTTATAATATAATCAAACATGTAATAGAGTTTAAAAGCCATGATTAGAAAAAACAAGCCGAAATATCTTCAAAATCTTGCTAGTCATGGTAAAAAACCCAAACGAGTACGGAATGCAATAAACTCAGGTGTAAGCAAAATAAAAATACTTCCACTATTGCAATTGATATCAATACCCTTAATAACTTTTTCTCAGAAACTCCTCATAGTACACTTCATGGGAGCAACGATGACGTTACAGATTCTTTATCTTTTGACAACAACCTGTTACAAGAGCACATGGATTCAAAAGCACCAGCTAATGTATCTTTCCATATTCCCTTCATTAAAGTATCTTTTGCGAAAGAGTCTCTTCATTAGCTTGACGTGTCAAAGGCAGAAGACTTGTTTCTTCAGTTTGGTGCAGATCATCTTTCCCAAAGTCTAACCCATATCTTCAACTTATCAATAAATAATATCTATCCTTCCTCGTTTAAAAAAGCTAAAATTATTCCACTTCATAAAGTTGGGGCTAAAGATTACCCAAACAATTATAGGCTTATATCTATTGTCTTAACTGTATCAACGGTTCTTGAAAGACATATTCACGGTCATCTTAGTAAGTATTTAAATAAATATCCCCTGTTGTATATGAACCAGTAGGTTTTTAGAACATCAAGCTCTTGTCTTCCTAACTCCCATTATGGAAAATATATATGATGCTATAAATAATAATCTTCTTTGTGGCACAATATTTTCTGACTTAAAAAAGTATTTGTTCTGGTCTATCATGACATTTTATTGACGAAATGCAGATATTTAAAGCTCAAAACCCATTACAATTCTTAGAATCATACTTGAAAAACAGAAATTAGTGTACTTTTGTTGATGGCGAACTATCTGCTCTAAGCCCACTCATTACAGTGGACCTCAAGGATCAATATTAGGCCCCCTCTTGTTCAATATTTCCATTAATGACTTGCCATTAAATCCCTCCTCTAAACTGACTTCTTTGCTGACGATACGACCGTTTACACCTCTGGCTCAACCGTTAAAGTTCTCAAAATAAAACAGATCCTTGAGCACAAAAATGAAAAAAGTACACTGTAATATTTATACAGTTATTCGTCTTACTAAAACAGAGAGGTGTTATTGTCCAATCGACAGTGTCCAATTGACCAATTAAAACGCAAGATTCACCCTTAAGCATGTTACAATTAGAGACTGTATATATGCAATACTTACAAATTACAAATGCAATTGTATAAACATTATTTACAAATTACATAAATGAAATCTGGCTTAACATCCTGCTTTTATGCAAAAGAAGAAAATGAGATGGAGTTTAACGTTCTACGGTTCCTACTGTTGAACGCGAATTTTGGTGCAAAACGTGGTGCCTAGAGGATAATCAAAAGTGGTGCGTTACATCCCTATAATAATATTAAAGTGAAGTAGTAAGCCTACTCATTTTTTTTAGCGGTTTTACCGTTTAATGCACTTTCCCTTTAGTGATCATGAATTTTAACCCCTTCACATTAATGAACCAGCAAAGAAGGACTTTTGCATAATTGAGTAGACGGGAGGTATATCTAATAAACCACAAACCCCCGGCGATTAATTATCAAATATAAAATTATCAAATATAAAAGCTAACGATATAAACAGGTTTATCATTATATACTTAGTTAACTTTATGTGTATTAATGTTTTTAATATTTGTAATACTGTAATTTACAAAGGCTGCATAACAATAATGAAACATTATGTAATAAATATGAACGAAATAACAAGACAAATACAATAACAAATAATTTATAAATAAATTAAACCACTAAAACACAAATGTTGCGTCTTGAAACTACTAATGTCCCTACAGCAACACGTTCAAAATTACATACGTTTTAAAAACGATAAATTATTTCATCATTAGTCAAGTTACATTGGTTCATCTGGCGACAAAATGAATATACTTTAAATACAAAAATGACACAACTTCTATGATTTGAGTTAAAATATATATATAAATTTCTATTTGATTCTATTTAATGTGTTGATTTGTCCATAATAGTAATTATAAAAGAGTATACTCCATAATGTTTGTTCCAAGAGTAATTTTGAAACATAGTACAAAACAATAAATATGATCCCTATAAGTCATCATTTAGAATAACACATGACACAATTATAACAAGTTATGAGAAGCAAGTCAAATATTTATGCGGGAATAAATCCTACATATATCTTTAAAGGACAATATTGGTGCCAGTCATTATCACATATGTGATAGAGCTGGTTAAACACATTCCAAATATAATTTTAACACAGAGATCATTGCTACGATAGCTGAGTAATACAGGTTTCCTGAGTCGGAAGTGACGAACGCCAAAGGAAAACACGAGTCATCTCTCTATATAACTGACTGATGTGACGAGTGATAACGGATATACGGCCGAATTTCTGCTCACTAATAATTCCTTCGAAGACCCAAAGTTGATATATGGGACTGTAAGAGGATACGTGACAATTCATCTCTTACAGATTTATCTCTTACATAATGCATCTTTAATGAATATAAGAAAGCGGACAGATAAATTCCGAAAATTTCGGGCGAAGAAGTATTTAAACATGCGATTTCTTTCAAAATATTTAAATTTACACCTTCACTATTATGCAAATAGCCGAATTCAACAATATTGTGTTTGATAAAGTCAAATAGTTATGTTGGAATGAAATTCATCATATACTGCAGTTATATAGGCATTTAACAGAGATATGGGCAGGTTTCTATGTAGAAAGCAGACCTTAAAAATTCTGAAATCGTCGGATGGAGGAATATTTACATGCCAACTCTAAGAGAATAATTACATTTATATGTTAACTATTACGCAAATAAGTGTATTCAACAATTTCTTTAAATAATATTTTCTACATAAAAACATATCTTTGGATTTAGAGGATTTTCGATGATATAATCAAGGAAAATATGTTTTAATTTACAAACTCATATAAAACTTGACGAATTGTTAAGTTATAGTAAAGTGGAATAATTTGGGTGATTGATTTGATTGTCAATGTCTGTCACCTCCCTTTCGTCAACTATAGCTAAGTCTTCTTGACTGTCTATGGACTGGGTTAAATTGAATTGTTACGCCTTCGTATTTGGAACTGTTGTGGATCCTTTGATATCTGCCGTTGTGGTTCTGGTACCGGATTTGGCTCTGGGTAGCTTCTAGTTTCAGATATTCCATAATTGGTCGAGTCTACATAGGCTGGTAATTCGGAATAAGGTGGTGGTGGTACTGAGGGTATGTTTCCAGGATATGAAGGTGCAGCGATATCATATTCTGGATTAGTTACCCTGGTGTATGGTGGGGGTGATGACGTATCTATAATATAGAATATAAATATAAAAAACACAATTATATGAAATACAATAGTTTGTATTTTACTTCTGGGGTTGTTCTATTTTTAAAGCAGTGGTTTAAATGAGATTTTAAAATGTAAATCGTTTTGATGTTTTCTGCATCTTTGCGTATGCTTGTTACTGGCAAGACTGTACATTGAGCGGGTGAGACGCTGGCTCGCTAGCCTCGAGGTCGGGTGTTCAATCCCTGCATAGGCCGAGAAAGTTCATCCAGATTTACCGGGGTGGTTCCCCCTGGCAGTTATGCAGGACGGAGGGTCTGACAAGGACAGTTGTCTAGTCGTTCGGATGGGACGCAAAACCGAGGTCCTGTGTACAAATTGGCGTGCACGTAAAAGGTCCCTTTACAGTTGTAATTCGATATAAGAGTAGGCCGTAGTGCCGCTGTCTGGACAAAATTTCCCCTCATAGCACAATGTATGGCGTATGCCCGTCTTCCGTCTTCATTAGCCCAGTTCGGAGCAGAACAGTAGGACGTTAAACCCCATTTCATTTCTGCACACTGATTGACGGACTTCGATTTATGATATGGCTTCGTAATTCCGAAATGGCGGCGATGACGTCATGCTCGGTTCCTGGGCTATATTTATTATCATTATTATTATTACAGCAATAACATGTTCAGGGACACTTTACAAAGTGACAATGTAATCATAAATAAACAAAACGATTATAGACATGTTAACGATTGTATACTTAGCCGGCAGGCTTTGATGTCAAATTTTGCCGCTAATCCAGAGTTAATCCTAGAACAATGGTGTTATAAACTATGGTCCATATAAACTATAGTCCATATCTTTTTTAAGACTAAAACTGTATTGATTTTAACAAATTTAACTTTTATTAAATAACATTACATAGCAACAGTGGTAAGAATATCATTCTTGGTGTTTACGGGGTGTTCCCACTTAGTTCTTGAGTGACTACTTTTAAACAGACTATAGTTTTAAGATCAATCAAAGGATTAACAGTCTGTCGGCTAAGTGGGAACACACCCAAATAGAGTCAGTTAAAAGCCTGATTAAATAAATGTGTTTTAAGTTGTTTTTCAAAGAATACAGAGATGAACACATCTTAAACTAAATGGTAGATTATTCCATAAAACATGTGCTTGATAACTAAACGAGCGCTGACCGTAAGAGACTAATTGAACAGTTCTGGGCTTTAAAAGTAGTTTATCTGATGTACGTAATGTTCGGCCTGGTGTATAAAGTTCTAAAAGATCTGAGAGGTAAACATTAGCTAAATTATTTAAACATTTAAAAGTAAGTAATAAAATCTTAAAATCAATTCGATATTTAACACGTAGGGTGTACTTAGTTATTTAAGCAGTGGCATCAATTTGATAAAAAAAAAAAGAAAATATCTTTTTGATGTTTTAGGCGTGGTAATTAATTGTCATAATTTTACAAACTGTTTTTCAATAAGCCATTTAGCTCCGACTGGGTTAATGTCATACAGTGTCCTACGACGGAATTTGCCGCAAAGCGGCGCTACGGCCTACTCTAATGTCGAATTGTTAATGTCGAATTGTAACTGCAAAGTCTTTTTTTTACATGCACACCAATGTGTACACGGGGTTTCGGTGTGTCGATCCATCCGAACGACTATAAGTTGTCCCTTGTCAGGCCCTCCACCTAGCAAGTGGTAACCACGCTGGAAAATCCCGATGAACTTTATCGGCCAACGCCGAAATCGAACACGAGACCCCTAGGTTAGCGAGCCAACGTCTAACTCGCTGAGCCACTGCACCTCCTCTAGCATCGCCGAGCAACACCAGTAGAAATGTCAGTCATGTAATCTACAATTGTTAAAGTTTAATCTCTAATAGGAATATCAGTCGGAAACTGGTAATTGGTAGCGGGGAAACCTAATCCGATAGAATCCAAGCTGGGAGATATCTAGCGTTGATATTTTGTTTTCATTATTAAATTTAAATAATCAATATGGGTACGTATTTTATATTTTTGCAAAAATGCAAATGACGCATCGAGCCTTTATAGCCTATCAAATATATTTGAAGTACTTACTATTTGCGTCATAAACTGGAGGAACAACAAGCACGGTATTATTGGAAGTGTTAAAAACTACAGTTTGCCTGTTTGATCTTGATTGTCTCTGGATTTTGATTTTTCTCTTCCTCCAGATAATACACATGAATGTACATAGAAAGATACACAACATTGTAATGAAGCCGAGCACTCCACCTAACTCCCTATAATGTTCATCTGAAATAAGCACAGAAAAGTGTATTTATCAAATTCCCATACGTATATCGATATGATTACCAAGCGGAGGTGTGGGGGTATATGTGAGGCAATCTGATTTTGGTAATAAAGCTGTAACATCGATGTGATTCTACGAATTTCGATAGGGCTCCGCATCATACTATACGGGGGCTCCGCATCATACTATACGGGGGGCTCCGCTTCATACTATAAGGGAAACACAGTCACATCATTATTGATATGGATTGTTCACGGGAACTTATGAACAGACGAAGTTGAAGTGACTACAATATACTTCCAGTATTAAATAAAAGACATTTTTTTTAGTGCTGAAAAAATAAGTTTATCTAAAATGTAAAAAATACCGCCTACTTTAACACTTCTAAAATATCGCCAAAATGCTATTCGAAAAAAATCAATGTGAACTTACTTGATGAGCTACCTTCCTCTGGTACAATATCTGACATTGTGTAATATTTTACTTTAAACCCTTTATAAACACCATACGCATTGGATCTAAATTCAATATAAAGATAGGAACCAGAGCTAAAGTATGTTGGTGTATAATTACTGTTCAGTTTACCCAAAAAGTCTCCATGTCTATTATAACCTATAAAAAGAAATCACCTGCAGCATTTGTTATTTGTCTGCGATATCACCTCGGTGGAAGCGGACGTAAAATACAACTAACCCATCAGCATTTGTTATTTAAAATCAGTAGTGTGCAGAGCTGGGAACGGGGTAGGGACAGGGTGTGGTATTGCCAATTAACTCGTTCACACATAAACTCGTACAAAAACAATGAATAAGACGCCCACAAGGAATTGGTTATGTCGTCTTCAACTAATGGTTATGTCGTCCACAACTAACAGTTGATTCGTACACACGTTAATTGTATGGAATAAATAAGTTTTTAATTGTTTTATTTACCCTACAATCTACAATGGTGTGTTCCCACTTAGCCGGCAGACTGTTAATCCTTTGATTGATCTTATAGTCTGTTTAAAAGTAGTCACTCAAGAACTGTTCACTAGTGTTCAGCGTTAATGAGCTCTTAATCCCTCTTAATAAAATTTATTAACCAACTAATTAATGACATTTTGAACACAGTTCATGCCGGCGTTATGATTTCAAACATGAATTCAATTCACTATATTAATATAAATAGATGGTCGATCTGTGTCGAAATTATATTTATTTTAAAATGGCAAACGTTCAGGTTAATATTCGCTTTATCTCCAATAATAGAGGTGGCTGATATTTAATACACAAAGTCAAGCAGACCAAATGCCGTCCATTGGAAATGTTCAACAAAAACTTGTCCAGCTACTGTAAACACCAATAATGATGTTCTTACCACTGTTGGATCCGAACACAATCATCAACCAATGCATTTTTATATGTGTAAATCATTTAATGTTATTTAATAAATATTAAATTTGTTAAAATCAATATATTTTTATATGTGTAAGCTATTTAATGTCATTTAATAAAAGTTAAATTTGTTAAAATCAATACAGTTTTAGTCTTAAAAAAGATATGGACTATAGTTTATAACACCATTGTTCTAGGATTAACTCTGGATTAGCGGCAAAATATGACATCAAAGCCTGCTGGCTAAGTGGGAACACCCCTCTACAATCTTGGTTGATCGATCCCTGCCGAGATTATTTCACCGGTGTTTTTGTAATAACTAGGCTTCGTATTGTTTGTTGATTTTACACATAATGAATACACATAATGATAAGATTAGTTTATGATGTCTAACATCGTTTATCTTCTTTATAAAAAGGCATTTTACACTTACAGTGACAGCGTAATCACTCACCGAAAGGCACAGGTGTTATTCATGTCCATGAAGCCCGTATATCTAGTTCGAGGGGAACCATACAACAGAAGAGTAAAATTAAATGAAGTTTTTTTAAATTTGAAATAACCGTTGTTAAAGGAGCTAAATAGCTAATATTTGGGACCTAGAAATTGACACAAATGGGTCGCACCGCATATAATAATGTAATCTAATTGTATATAAACTGATTTACATTCAATTGTCTCCGTTTTGACTCTAACTTCAAATCAGTTATGTCCAGCGAAATACGTCATGAGTCTCAACCGAATGTCAATTTCTAGCGTCTGGTTATTCCAGTCTATTGCGCAAGCTCTCGTGGCGCCACCGTTTGACATGAGTTGTGGAATATGTCTAGCCTCGTTCTTTCTGGTCACTTGTTACAAATGACTCTGAAACGCACTATGGTACACGAATTCGTGTACGAATGGTAATATGTTTATTTTGTCTTAAATATTGGATATCAGAAGCCTACCTTTTCCCGGTAAGATCACAACATCACTATTGATTTGAATTGACAAATAATTCGTGTTTTCAACGTGTAAGACTTTGGATGATATTGAGTTAGAGACTTAGCTACTTTAACTTTGGTGTACAGGCTATCCTTATTAATTAATTTATGTCATCTGTCTTGACGTTTTTAAAATGCTTTCCTTTCCCACATTTCTCAATACTAGACCCCAGAACTGAGTCTATATAAAGGACATACAATTACGGAGTTGGGCCAATATATCAGCAAATCTCTGCACGCCACTGCTCGAAACGTGTGTGAATTAATAAATTTTTAATGTGTTAAAAACATCCAAAAATAAATGAAACGCGGACTTTAATAGACATTCAAATAACACTTTATTTAACAGAATTTGAAATGTAAAATAAGTAGGAAACTTAATATTAGTTACAAAAATATGAAATATCTAAAATTTCAATTTATGCGTTATAAGGAAATAAATACATGTAATAAAATGTTAAATATATTCTTGGGAAATATATTAAAATCAATGTTTTCATGAGATGTTCGCCGCTTACCGTCATAGACCTTGACATAATCTTCTTTATCATAGGCAGGTTTAGGCCCTAAATCGGAATCAATCACTTCAAATCGAATAACTTTATAATCGGAAGTTATACGCCACTGACAGTACTGATCACTGTAAAATATATACATGCATCAAATAAAAGTTTATAAATAACATCAATCTAATAGCCGTCTTCATTAGCCCAGTCTAGGAGCAAAACAGTAGGACGTTAAACCCCATTTCATTTCATTTCATTTTCAATCTAATAGTCTGAACGAAAAAAAGTTCATACTGGTCCTTAAGGGCATACGAATAGTTTAACGGATGCTTTTTAGATCATAAGGTCTGTCGCAGTGTCATTGAATCAAGTAGCGTGGTTTCGATTCCGAGCTTGTATTGACGTGATAAGCCGTAGGGGCACCTGACCAACCTCGAGGGTTTGCTCCGTGTATCCCTGTTTCCTCCAACTGCTCAAAACCCCTAGGCACTAACCAACTATTGAAATATAACTGGACTTTATGTTAGTCCCTAAATGACCTAGTTAAATCTAATTTCTCTTTATACATCTTGACACTATAAGCGAACTTTATGTTAACTGATAGTTTTACTTCGTAATGTGAAAGTGAACTAATCAGTTAATCGGTCTAGGTTTCACCTGATGCCCAGGTCACCACAAAATACAAAATAGAGTTACCCAGTTAGCAGGAATATACTTAAAACTTCCATTGTAGACTGTATTTTCATGTCCGATTATATGGATCTGAGAAGACAAATTCGTCGCGTGAACCAGTATGTCGTTGTTGACACTACTGGCATCGTTGTAAGTTATAAATAATGAATGAATGCAATGGGGTTTAACATTCAACTATTCCATACCACCCGGCACATTGACTTTGGTCACTGTTGTTTTCCTGTCTATATTTAGATGGTCAGTATTACAATGTAAGAGCCAAATCTGCTTTTTGTTCGGTCTTTTTTTTTTTTGGGGGGGGGGGGGCTTAAAATGTTTTATATGAATTCTAAAGGATACATTATTCAAGAAAGAGCTAAATCTGCCCATTGCAGTTGTTTAGGGCTAAAATGTTATATAAATTATCAAAGGCGTTTATTAACATGACAAGACCATAATCAACTCTCTACTCCAACGGATGGCTTTGATTTTAAGTAAGTAGATTAGAACGGTTCGGTCATTTAATGAATTAACTTAAATATGGAGAAGCGAGGCTAACTCTCGAATATTCCAGTACCGTGGTTACGATAATAAACAATCAATGCACTCATCTTGTCAAAACTACATACAGTGATAATCTGGCTCAAGTAAAGTAAGTTGATTGAAATTTTCAATATATTCATTTTATATTATCTATTTGTGAACTATTATATATAACAACGGTCAGCTCTTTATTTAAATCTTACATAATGTATCTTTAATAAGGCATTTATTCATATGACAAGTCAATAATCAACTCTATGGACTAGACCATCGGATGGCTGTAATTTTGAATTGATTAAAACACAATCGCCATTTGATAATATAATGTCGAAATGGATTATTATCGTAACAATGGTACTTGACAATCAAGACTGTATGGTCAAAACTTCAAATACTCATAACTCCTGTCTGAATAAAGCCATATGACTGAAATTATTAATATATTCATTTTCTATTAGGTATTTTTGAACTATTATAGCAAGAAAGATCAGGGCCCTGTTTCACGAAATTTAAGATAAAATCCAAATTTTAGTAATTTGATTGGATAATATTAGATTGATTTTAGTGCTTAGCCAATCAAAATTGAAGTATCTCTTAAAATTTAGATTTTATCTTTAGTTAAAATTTCGTGAAACAAGGCCCAGGCCATTATTTAAATCTTACATCATGTAGCGTTAAATAACTTTGTAATATGTACTCAACGGTAGGATATATGTAATATTTAAACTTACTTTCTATATTTACTCGGATAATTTGGTGAAGTAAAATACTGAGCAGTCGAAGAAGCTGTTAGTTCCAATGGTCGCCCTACAGAACATGTCTCACTATTTCCTGATATAAAATATTACAAAAGAAATCATTGTAATTTGTCTTTAAGAGGAGTTTATTCAATGCCATGTATTTCATAGAGTATTTGAAAAGTCCAACAAAACAATTTGCAATCAAATTTAGTATCTGGATTAATTTTGTCTAAAACATAATAATTATGTGAAATACTAATAATATCAAACCTGAACCCAAACACAGCTTGGAATTTCTAAATATCATTCAAATAATAATATGTCTGTGGATCTCTTTCAAACTTATTCAAGTAATTTATCTTTCTATTGTAATTAGTATATATTTTTAAAAAATTACTTACCTATAATTATACTGATAAATATCAACAAAACATAAAATACAGCCGTCGTCATCTAGATAAGAAATAAACAGCTAAATTACAATGTGCTGTCTAAATTGCAATTACCATATTTAGTTATCTATATCGCCATTTTTAATCTGATATATATCCGTTCATCGGGATTTGCTGGCGTGGTTACTCTTTCCACTGGTGTAGGGCGGATAGTCGTCCGGATGGGACGAAAAAACAAGTTTCCGCGTACAGATTGAGGTGCACTTAAAGGAAGCCGTGTCAGTTGGAATTCGAAATAAGAGTAGGCCATAGGGTCACTGACCGACCATATAGCTTCCCTCATAGCACACTGTATAGCGGATGTCCGTCTTCATTAGCCCAGTCGGAGCAGAACAGTAGGACGTTAAACCCCATTTCATTTCTTTTTTTATATCTATCCGAATGACAAAAATAGAACTCATTATTATTATTGATAGTTTGAGTTTCGTAATGCTCACCAATATGACTGTATTGCACACAAAGAGGGTCAGAAATGAGGGTTAACGTCCACTCGACATAAACTAGGTCATTTCGGGACTAACATATGGTTTAATTTTATTTGAATAATTCGCTTGAGCTTAGGGGTCCTTAGCAATGGAAGGAAACCGAACGACCCGGAGAAGAACCTCGAGGGTGGTGCATAATGCATCGTTAAATAGATTAACTGGCTGTCTTACACTCGTCTCTTCCGGAATCATTAAATCGTGGTAACCGATAACCGTAACAAATATCCCCATGTTAACGGAGATTTCACTGATAAGATATGATTATGTTCATTACGATAGTATGGTAAGACCTGTTCAATGAATTAAATGTCATTCGGCTTACTTTGCTGAAACTGTCCATGTAGTAAGCCAGTTCGGGCCTCTCCAACTTTAATCTGGTTTTATTTCGTATATAAATATTTATTTACATTCAATAAATCTTACCTTTGTAAACGTAAATTATCAGTCATATCTTGTCCGTTTGACAGTCAACGCATATTCCTGTAAGCAGTATATAAATAAAGTGAATAAACTGATTGAATGACAATACTCTATTGGTCGTAAATCCACCAGAGCGTGACTTTATTCGAGAAAGGTGGTGCATACATAGCGACAAAGTGCAAAAGCGTTATATAAACGACACGGGCCCGATTTTACTCCTGTTTGAAAACCCCATGCCACCAGGTTCATGCTAAATGATAAGGCTAGCTCAATTGTTCGTCATAGGTCACGAGATGTAAACGGGACTAGCGCTAATCCCAACCCTAACCCTGGACCTAGCCCCAATGCTTACACTAACCACGTGCCCTAACCTTATTTACATCTCAGCGACCTTGACGAAAAATCGAACTGGCCTTATCATTTAGCTCTAAGCATGCCACCAATCGTGCCTATTAAAGAAGCTTTGACACATTCGTCAAGAACATAAATTCTATTTTCCCGAGTCATTGGCGTTTAGTTTTTCTTTGAGTAGCTACTTGTATATGTAAAGGGTTCTTTAATGTACAAAGGTGGCCTCGGTTTGACGTCTCATCCGTAAGACTAGGTGCAATATCTTAACAGACCCACACGCGCTTACCCTGACTAGTGGAGTCCCAGATTTAAAAAAAAGTCCCGAAAGTATGGTGGCTGTTAGGGGCCATTCATATGAATCTAAATCGTCGCCTTGTGAAGAAGGCGACAAGTCGACAGAATTGACCCGACAAGTCGACGAAATGAAGGCGACGATCGTCGGGTTATTTTGTCGTGTCGGCGGGTTGATTTTGTCGATTTGTCGACTTGTCGACTTGTCGTCTTCGACTTATTCACAACCCGACAAGGCGCAAGTCGACAAGTCGACGAAATACAATTATTTCGACTTGTCGCCTCGGAAGTCAAACTCGAGCTTGCGTATTTTCTGACTGGATAACTTGCATGCGCACAGATTAACTTCCGAGGCGACAGGTCGCCGCACGACAAGTCGAAATAATTGTGTTTTGTCGACTTGTCGCCTTGTCGGGTTGTGAAGAAGTCGAAGGCGACAAGTCGACAAGTCGACAGAATTGACCCGACAAGTCGACAGAATTGACCCGACAAGTCGACAAAATGAAGGCGACGATGGTCGGGTTATTTTGTCGTGTTGGCGGGTTGATTTCGTCGACTTGTCGACTTGTCGCCTTGTCGCCTTGTCCGGTTGTGAATAAGTCGAAGGCGACAAGTCGACAGAATTGACTCGAAAAGTCGACGAAATGAAGGCGACGATTATGGAAGCGTATTTGGGTCACTACTTATTGAGATAATATCGCAACACATCGAACTAAAATATGTCAACTTCATGAGTTATATTACAAAATAAGTCGACTCGACGCATTAAATTCACCTCTAAACGACAAAAACTATGTCGATATGTTTACATCATGCCAATTGTCGATTTGACTCTAAATCAACAAGTCATATTTTAATGCAATATATAGACTTAATAATGTCGCCGTTTTCAGTTATGTACCACGGGCTTAATTTCATTGCTCGAGATTGCTTATTCATGAAAGTGCAGCCAATGATGGGGTTTAACGTCCACTCGACACAAACTAGGTCATTTTGGGACTAACATATGAACAAACTAGGTCATTTTGGGACTAACATATGGTTTAATTTTAGGGGTCTTTAGCAGTGGGAGGAAACCGGAGGACCCGGAGAAAACCCACTAGGTTGGACAGGCAACCCTACTCCTTGTCACGTACAACCGGGGATTCGAAACCACGCCAGTTGACTCAATGATAGGCCTTACGATACAGTGCGCACGTGCTAACCATTCGGCCATCCCCCCCCCCACCACCACCACCCATAATGGATATTAAAATCTCCGACAATAATTTCTTGTCAATTATATCTACCATAGCTGAAAATTCATCGGTGAAAAATTGTTTGTTATTTTTTTTCTTTGAGGGTGGTAATTTGTATATAATCCTAAAAGACTTACTATCAGCACTTATTACTGTTCCAAGCACCAAAAAAGTTTTTTTGTCATGTGTGGCTACAACTGGGTTATTTTGCTCTGATTTCTTCAAATATGATATATATTTGAAACTTGTGTATAGTGTGACTAAGAACTACGTGATTACTGTGTGAAAACGCGGGGAGATTTTTAGGAGAAATTTTGGATTATCATGTTTTTAGATAGAACATTGCAGTTCAATATGGACATGTTTGGCTATTTTTAGTATCGGCTTTGTCCTTGTCAATACTACTAGTCTGAACCTTGTGAACTGTCAAGACTAAATACTATTTGGACGAACAATAGAGTTAACAATGTTGTGACTTTTACCATATTCCTGAAGCAATGTACTGATAGCAAAATCTTGGGGTTTTGACGAAGTGTGTCTATTGTAATCGTCCAATCAAATTTCTCCTGAGTACAGTAGACTCAATGGGGTTTGCATGACTGACCGCTTAACGGGAATGACCACCTAATAAAACCGCAAGGTTTGTTAGTACTGATATCAAGTAAAATTGTACGTGTTGACGCATCAGGAGCAAACATCAATACTCGCTAATGGTTAGCACGTGCGCACTGTATCATTGAGTCAACTGGCGTGGTTTCGAATCCCCGGTTGTACGTGACAAGGAGTAGGGTTGCCTGTCCAACCTAGTGGGTTTTCTCCGGGTCCTCCGGTTTCCTCCCACTGCTAAAGACCCCTAAAATTAAACCATATGTTAGTCCCGAAATGACCTAGTTTGTGTCGAGTGGACGTTAAACCCCATCATTGGCTGCACTTTCATGAATAAGCAATCTCGGGCAATGAAATTAAGCACGTGGTACATAACTGAAAACGGCGACATTATTAAGTCTATATATTGCATTAAAATATGAATTGTTGTTTTAGAGTCAAATCGGCTATTGGCATGATGTAAACATATCGACATAGTTTTTGTCGTTTAGAGGTGAATTTAATGCGTCAAGTCGACTTATTAAGTCGATTTTTTGTAATATAACTCATGAAGTTGACATATTTTAGTTCGATGTGTTGCGATATTATCTCAATAAGTAGTTACCCAAATACGCTTCCATACGACGATCGTCGGGTTATTTTGTTGCGTCGGCGGGTTGATTTTGTCGACTTGTCGACTTGTCGCCTTCGATTTATTCACAAACCAACAAGTCGACAAGTCGACGAAATACAATTATTTCGACTTGTCGTGCGGCGACTTGTCACCTCGGAAGTTAATCTGTGCGCATGCAAGTTATCCAATCAGCAAATGCGCAAGCTCGAGTTTGACTTCCGAGGCGACAAGTCGCCGCACGACAAGTTGTCGCTTTGTCGGGTTGTGAATAAGTCGAAGGCGACAAGTCGACAAAACCAACTCGCCGACACGACAAAATAACCCGACGATCGTCGCCTTCATTTCGTCGACTTTTCTGGTCAATTCTGTCGTCTTGTCGCCTTCTTCACAAGGCGACGATTTAGATTCATTTGAATGGCCGCTAACAACCACGATACGAAAGTGCTTTTCAGCCCAGGCTGTGATTCTAGTCGGGGGACTTTTACGAAGAACTATTTAATGATATTTTCAATAGAGGCTAATAAGCCCATCCAGTTCACGCTGAAAACTTGTTTCTATGATTTTAACTACAAAAACATAATGTCGAATACAGACAACCCTCAACGAAACGTCGCTTAAATTAAAATAGTAATTGTGTTCTATATTATGTTTTTGTGTTTATTACATTGCTTTTTGCTGCTCAAAGAAGATAAAGGTATGCTGTTTATTATGCTCACAATAAATAAAATCTGAAATTCACTGTCATAGGTTAACCATGCGTCTGGCATTATAGTTGGCAACAATTTTAGGTTGTATGGGATTAGCCGATACGACTGTCTTTCAAGCAATCTTAGATGATCTACATATTAAAGTTACAATTTCATATTTTCTAAGAAAGTCAAAACATAATTATTTTTATGTCTTTTGCTCAATAGGTTGTCAACTCACTATTATACGATCTTAAAAATCTTCACACCAGAAATAATAACACAATTACCTCCGAATTACCTCCCTTGTTTTCTATTCCCCACCATGGAATAGCTATCTTCAAACGTTTGAATTTGAAGTTGAAAATGATATATTTGCCAATTTCTCAACTGGCAATAGTGAATTATAGGATTAATAGGATTATTCTTTAAAGGGACAATAACACTCTTGCGGGCTTGAAAGCTCCAGAAAATAAATAATATCTCTATCTAAGTACTAGATGTTTAAGTGTCCTACCTGTTGTCTAAATTATCCATTACATTCTTTTTTACTTGTCCAGAGGATTCGAAAATATTTTTAAATCGAAGTTTCATTTGAAAAGGTTTACGTTAGACGTTTCAAACCATTATGTTGAATTTTTCAAAATTTTTAAATAAGGTGTGTTAAGATGAAATTTGTATCATCAATTAATTGAAATATTCTAAAATAGTACAATTTGTTGACCAGAATAAAGATTGGGGCATATTATTCAGTTACAACAAGAGTGGTATTGAGCCTTTAACACGGTAGGACAGTTTATAGATACCATCTATTTAGGGTTTTATTTTAATACATTTTAAAAATATAACTTAAAAATATGAAATCGTAACTTTAAATCTTTGTCGTGGTAGTACATTGTGCTTTAGGGATAAGGTATTCCATTTTGAACCGGTCAACCACGCTATGCCACTGTGTATACGGATTATGGCTTTGGGTTAAACCACTAATTGACTACGTTTACCAGTAACGCGATTGACCAGACTCTAATTATCCGAAGATCAGAAGATTTGTATACTTGATTGTTTGGAATCTTATATTGTTGCCGAGCATTCGTTAAACTCTTTGAAACCACCAAAAATTAAAACATGTACATCTCAATGATTGTTCGGCAGCTTTGTTTGAGATTTTGCGAACAATTTACATTGAACAGGACTGTAATGTAAGTGAATGTATAAATCAACCATTGAAGACTTCCGAAGTTAAAACACCAGTTTTACCCTTTCCCTTGCAACATATTTCATACCCGATCCCTGACAACTGGGTGTAACACACCCGTTTACTAATTATATTGGAATGATATTTTATACCCGATCCCTGGATTACACCCAGTTGTCAGGGAAAGGGTTAAAAGAGAAAACACTTAACTGCATTTCACA